TATATATATAAAATAAAATTAAGCAACTATTTTTGCACGAAAAATGGTTGCATCACGACGTGGATGAATGTATTATTTCCCAGCATTTTCCTTCATCGTAAGTCCACTAGACAATAACTAAGATGCTGGCAATTAGAAATTGGAATTTTATTATAATCATAATAACACATCCATTTCAAGCTGAAATTTTGAAAATTCAGCTTTATTGGTACAGAAAAGTCTCAAATCTATATAGAAAACCTAAGACAAATAATAGAAAAGGAAAAAAAAAAGAATCATATACAATAACATTGTAATACTATGATCTACTTCAACAAGTTAGCTAAAGCCATGGCCAAGAAAGTGACTGGCAATGCTGCAAGAACCAAAGATGGTGCAGCAGCACTTGGTGGAGGCGGTGGCATAACCGGAGACTCGATCGATGGAGGTGTTGGGACATAGGGGATACCAAATGGTGGAATGACACTAGGGGAAGGCAGAGGCGTAATCGGAGAACCGGCCAATGGCGTCGATGGAATCGCGGGGGGAGACGGTGGGTTAATAATGGATAAAGGTGTTGGGGCGGAAGGGCTCCCAGATGGCGTAGGTACAGGTGCTAGAGTTGTCACTGGTGAAGGAGCAGATACTGGGATAGCTGTTGGTGGAATAGTAGGGGTGATAGGAGCAGCTGGGGTGGTTGTTGGTGGAGCATTCGCCGTGGCAGGAGTAGATATCGGGGTGACTGTTGGTGGCGTGATCGGCGTGGATATTGGTGGAGTATTGGGGGTGGTAGGAGCAGATATTGGTGTGGATTTTGTTGGAGTATTAGAGTTTTCAGGAACAGATGCTGAAGTGGATGTTGGTGGAGTAGTGGACGTGGCTCTTGGTGGAGTAGTAGGTATGGTAGGAGCAGATATTGGGGTTGTTGTTGGTGCAGTAGTAGGATTGGCAGGAGCAGATATTGGAGTGGTTGTTGGAGGAATAGTACGCTTGGCTCTTGGTGGAGTAGCTGGGGTGGCAGGAGCAGATATTGGGGTGGCTCTTGGTGGCTTAGTAGGGGTAGTCGGAGTAGATACTGGGGTGGATGTTGGTGGAGTAGTGGGGTTGACATGAGCAGATACTGGTGCGGCTCTTGGTGGAGTAATGGGGGTGACAGTAGCGGATACTGGGGTGGTTGTTGGTGGAATAGTAGGGTTGGCAGGAGCAGATACTGGAGTGGTTGTTGGTGGAATAGTGCGCTTGGCTCTTGGTGGAGTAGCTGGGGTGGCAGGAGCAGATATTGGGGTGGCTCTTGGTGGCTTAGTAGGGGTGGCCGGAGTAGATACTGGGGTGGATGTTGGTGAAGTAGTGGGGTTGACAGGAGCAGATACTGGTGCGGCTCTTGGTGGAGTAATAGACATGCCTCTTGGTGGAAGAGTGGGGGTGACAGGAGTGGATACTGGGGTGGCTGTTAGTGGAGTAGTACGCTTAGCTCTTGGTGAACTTGTGGGCCTGGAAGGAGAAGATTTCGGGGTAGCTATAGGTGGAGTAGTGGGGTTGGCAGGAGCAGATATTGGCTTGGCTCTTGGTGGAGTAGTGGGATTGGTCGGAGCAAATACTGGGGTAGATGTTGGTGGAGTAGTGGATGTGGCTCTTGGTGGAGTACTGGGGGTGATAGGAGCAGATACTGGAGTGACTGCTGGTGGAGTAATAGAGTTGGAAGGAGCAGATACTGAGGTGGCTATAGGTGGAGCAGTACGCTTAGCTCTTGGTGAAGAACTTGTGGGCGCGACAGGAGCAGATCTCGGGGTGGCTATCGGTGGAGTAGTGGGGTTAGCTCTTGGTGGCGTAGGCGTGGCAGGAGCAGATATTGGGGTGGTTGTTGGTGGAGTAATGGGCGTGACAGGTACAAGCCGAGGAGCAAGAGAGATGGAGGCAGCGGAGACAGTTATAACCAATTTCATGCCTAGGTCACAATGCCCTGCAAATGTACAAAGGTAATAATGTGTTCCAACAGAGTTTAATATAATGTTTGTTGGTCCATTAGTTGATGTGGAAATCGGACTTGCGGTGTTGCATGAATCAAAATCAGCCTTGGATACTTCAGCAACATTGTGTGCTCCAGTCGCAAAGTTAAAAGCTGTTCAAAAACAAGGATTACATCAATAATATAATTATTAGTTAAAAAAAAGGAAAATATCCAGATTCACACTTTTACTACACGAAGCGTCTTAATTTTATCCTTCCTTATGCTTTAGGGTCAATCATACTCTTGTTGTCACCAAATTGTCTCATGCTTAACCTTGAGCTTGATGGAGTTCCAGCATGGGGTGGACGAATTCCACGTCCAAATATTTCAGAAAAATATCTAGCTTTTGACTATGAAATATTAGGGTAAGGCCAGTACGCAGACAATTTGCTAATGACAGAGTAAAATTAAAAAAAAATCAGATTTACAAGTGTTAATTTAAAAATAGTTACAGTTTTAAAAATAATCGAAATTTACCCATTTTTTATGTAAAGATAAATCTGAACAAAAACACTGTTCAAAATCCGAAAAATATTTAGCATAATATGCTGGAGTTCAAATATTTTACATGTGAACTTCCAACATAATATGCTGTGTGCTGGAGTTCCAACATAATATGCTGGAAGTTCATACACATGTGCTCCAATCTCCAGTATATTATGCTGGAACTTTCCGTGTACTGGAGTTCCAGCATAATATGCCGGAAGTTCTTACACAGGTGCTCCAATCTCCAGTATATTATGCTGGAACTTTCCGTGTGCTGGAGTTCCAGCATAATATGTTGGAAGTTCATACATAGGCGCTCCAATCTCCGGTATATTATGCTGGAACTTTGCGTGTTGCAACAAAATAGTGGTTATTTTTTAATGACTTTGCAAACGTTGGCCATTTTTTAATTACCAATCCGAAAACTAGCTAACACGTGCTATTTTAACAATGACAAAGGTAGGAATGGATCCAAAGTATAACTAATGATAAAATTAAAATATTTCATGTAGTTGTAGAATATTTTATGTCAATTTTCCAAAAAAAAAAAATTGTTCTATGTGACACTATTACTATTTTGAGTATTACCAAGAGTGTCGCCGACTGAGAAGATTTTCGGGGCAGCCCAGGTGGAATAAGCGGCGGCTCCGCCAGGAGGTACAGTCCAACCCAAAGCATCACCTACTACATAAGTATTTTGCGCCATTGAAATATTGAACAAAGCAGTTGCTACTACTAACATAGCCAAATTCAACTTTCTTGACATTCTGCTTTTTGTGTTGCTAGAGAACTAGATCTCTCTCTCTCTCTAAATCTTTAGCTTTCTCTCTCTATATTTATATTATATCTTTGTGTTTTTTTATGTGGGAAAAGAGCTCAAATTGGAGTCATGAGGTTGGCTATGATCTTTCTATATATATAAGCAGTAGAGCAAAGGCAGTTGTTGGGGCATTTGATTTTTGAAGGACCAAAGTCAGCTATTTTATGGATGAAACGTGGCTAAGGATGACAGCATGGAATTCAATCTAATATGCTGAAGGCAGTTTCACACTAAGGGGTGTCAGTATATAGAAAAAGTAAACATACTAAAAACAAATTAAGGGGAGTCATGAACATACATTAATATATATACCTATAAAATAAAAATTATCGAACTACACAGTATAATTTTGCGGACGAATGAGTGTCAGTTGACACCCCTTTAGATAAGGTGGCTCCGCCACTGGCTGAAGGGGAACCTTAGAGCAATGGTAAAGTTGTCTTCGTATGACCAATAGATCACAAGTTCGAGCTGTGGAATCAGCTACTAATACTTGTATTAGGGTAGGCTGCCTATATCATATACCCCTTTGGATGCAACCCTCCTCCGAATTCTGTATAAATACGAGATACTTCATGTACCGGGCTAACCTTTCTATGCTGACATGTAAATGTGAATTTTAATGTGAATTCGGGTAAGTCAAGTTGGTGAATTGTGACATATATTGTTTGGGTGACCCTCTTATTTTTTATTTTTAAAAAAATAGTTCTCTTGTACAAATTTTCTGTCCCTTTTTTTTCAGACACGTTTCATTTTATTTTTTTTAACAGACAACACAAAATAAATTCTATCACAATAATCCTTGACGGTTCTCCTAATACTAAAGATATCTAAAAAAAACTCACAAAAATAAGAACAAAGCAAACCAAAACAAAATAAAATTATTTTCTAGTGAAAATAATTAGTTTTTACTCGATTTTTTCAAGCATTTTTTATATGACGCAATACAATATAGAAGACTTCTGCACAATAATTTGAATAATTACCAAATTTAGCTAGTGTACACATTTGAGCTCTTCTTAAATAATCTTGCTAACAATTTAAAAAATTACCAAATTTACCTAGTGTACACGTTTGAGCTCTTTTTGAATAATCTTGCTAACAGGGTATATATACTAACTCATGCTTAGTATACACGTTTATCTATGCAAATAGTTTTAAAATACTTATCTTGATTATATAAATATTCTTACAATATCTGTGCATAAATCTTTTAAAATTTGTGACGATCTTACTAGAAACGGATCCGCGTTTCATGCATGCAATGGTATGTAGCCACTTAGACGTCTCTTTAACAAGCTTTGGTTGTACGTAGTTCTTAATTGATCAAATGGAATTAGGATAAAAAGATTAAGTTAATCTAGTTTCATTTTTTTCTTATATCATTCATTCAATTTGTTTATTGCCGCAACCTTATCTTGCAGCGTCAATTAAATAAAAGAGAAAAGGAAAAGAATACAATACAAACTCGAGTCAAGATTCAACTCCTGGCTCACTAAAGCCGGAGAGATTGATTTTATGGTTTATACAAATATTCTTTTAGTTATATATAGCCATTTTTATAGAAGATTAGTAAAATATATGATCTGTAAATATAACACAAAAGGAATTTGTATGAGTAATTGAGTACAACAACAAATCCAATATAATCCTACAAATGTGGGGTATGGGGAGGGTAGAGTGCATGCAGACCTTACCCCTACCTTGTGAGAGTAGAGAGATTGTTTCCTATAAACCCTCGGTAAAGATATGTGGCTACTGGGATTCGAACCCGGGTCTCCACGGCCACAACGTGGGATTCTCACCAGTCACCACTAAAATATTCAAATTATAATTGGGGATTTGCAGTCGTACATTATATTTGTGCCACCTTTTAACTTGTACCTTATTTTTAAAAATTATTAATTTGATAGCCAGCTAAAAAGAGGCGACCAAATAGGACGCCCCATGTAATTTTTACATTGTAATTGATGTGTTTGTATGGTAATTTTCTCTATTCAAATTATAATTGATCATATTTTTTGTCGGAGGAATTGTTTAATGTTTAGTGTTTTTCCTGACTAAACAAGTTAAAATTTAACTGGTTATGTGTTGGAAGTAGGAACAGTGGAAGATAGGATGTTCTCTTAATTTTATTTGCTTGTTTAAGTTTTTTGTTTGTTTGGTATTAAAATGACTGAAATACCCTCAACATTTTAATGACCTGAGAATGGTTCTGATATGAGGGAAATCTTGTAATCTTATCCTCTATACTCCAACTTGTCACACTGCCACCATATACTAACAGAAAAAACAGAGAAATTTAAGAGGAAAAATAAAAAGAAAGGGGAAAAAAAAACAAAAGAAAAAAATGGCAACTGTGTGCCTCTCAAATCCTAAATCTTTTCTTCCTTCTCTTCATTCATCTTCTTTGTCCAATTTAACAGTCCAAAAAATCAGTGTTAAGAGACAATTAATTGTGTGCAAAGCAGAAAATAATGTACCTAGTTTTAATTCTTTAATTATTAGCAAGAGAAGCCTTTCAATTAGCATTGCATCAAGTTTATTGCTATCTTTAACTGGTAATGGACTTTTTCAAGCCAATGCTGCAATTTTAGAAGCTGATGAGGATGATGAGTTGATGGAAAAAGTGAAAAAGGACAGAAAGAAAAGACTTGAAAGACAAGGCATTATCAATTCCTCTACTAAGGAGAAAGGTAAAAAAAAATCTTTTCTTGTTTCTTGAAAATTTCCCTAGTAAAATTAAGTATAGTTTGAATAGTTTGTTATGTGATATATTTACTGAAGCACCCCTTATTTGGTGGTTAAGTTTTGGTTAAAGGGTAGTCCGGTGCACAAGTTATCCCGCGTTCATGCAGGTTCCGAGGAAGGGCCGCACCCCAAAGGTGTTACGTAGACAGCCTAACCTAATGCAAGCATTAGCGGCTGCTTCCACGGCTCGAACACGTGACCTATAAGTCACACGAAGACAACCAGAGGTGGACCCAGGATTTGAAGGTCGCGGGTGCACTTTTTGATTCAACCAAAATCTGCTTTATATATAGGGTGTCAACTACTAATATATCAATATTTTCTAATGACATATACATGTTTATATAGAATTTTTGTCGAACTTTATGGGTTCCTGTGGCCCCTCTACCTATAGCATAGGTCCGCCTCTGTAGACACTTTGTTGTTGCTCCAAGGCTCCCTTCGGTGGTTAAGTTTTGTTTATGGGACTAATTCTTGGAGTTGTACAATATGCCTATAAAAGTACAGGTTGGACATTGAAATATAGAGAATTCAAAAGTTACCCAATTAAAGTGAATATTAGGTTCTGTCATTTCCCAAGTTTCACCATTATAGTGCAGTTGATAATATAAAGTTCTTTGTTTTCATATCAGTAAGTTGGTAATATAAGGACTTGGCTGGTTTTTGCTTAAAATGTTGTTTGCAGAATGAGAAAAGCAGCCAAAATCCATTTGTAATAGTTAAATTTTTGCCATATTACCATATTAAACTTTGTATTATAATTATACATTTGATTACCAAATTTCGAAAAGGAAACTATATTTTTAATTGACTAGTCTGCATTGTCTTAAGCGCGAATTTGGGGGAGCTACACCTTGTTTTTAGATATCCATTTTCTTAAGTATAGTATCATAATGATGATCCAACCTTAGTTATTTAGTTTCATCTTTTTATTTATGGATCGCAATCAAGTTTATTTTATCAGAAAAGAGTGCAACACCAGAAAGTTCCTAAGTTGGGATCCCAAATTGTTTGAGTAGTCAGTTACCTGAATCATCTTAGGAGATAATGAAGTGTGAGAGCTTCAAAGGTATAGAATTTAAGTCTTGGTAGCAATTAGACTTGAATTTTGATGTATACCTGATTGAGAAGCGGCAATAAACTCATTGTATTGTTAAAGTTATGGGTTCAGATTTCATATTTATTGAGATTTTAGTAGGTTTTTACATATATATCTTTACTCCATCTTGAAAGTTGTGGGTTCAAAGTGAGCTACATCCGCCCCTGTACCTAAAAACATAGTACTTTTCTAACCACGAAAAATGGCCTAATAATCTTATCTGCATGCAATTAAAACTAGACTATGTCATTGCGTAATCAGCCTCTCTATCTCCACAAGGTATGATTAAAGTTGCGTACACACTACCATCCCCAGACCCCACTATGTGGTATTATGCTGAGTTTGTTGTTGTTGTTGTTGTTATGTCATTGCTTAATTTGTTAATTAATGAAATCTTGCAATAATGTTAAGAAGTTTTTGAAGTATAGATTTGTTAACTCTCATTTATTATATACAATGGTGAAGGATACTTGCAAGATTTGGTATACAAGCTCAGTATAGTAGGTCAAGCAATAGAGAACAATGATTTATCAGCTGCAAGTTCAGTTCTTGGCCAAAGCACTGATGCAGATTGGGTTCAGAAAGTTAATTCAGCATTCAACAAGGTGTTTTTAGTTGATCTTTCCATTTCAAGCACATATTTTTTTTCATTATCTATTTTGCAGCTGATGTTCATGTGCACTGAATATTATTTTCCTCGTGTTGTTACAGTTTAGTGGTAGCGATGAGGAGAAAACAGAGATTGATTCCTTCAATTCTTCGCTATTTTCTCTAGTTTCATCAGGTAATGTTTTTCTTGAGAAACCAGTGATCACAAAATCAAGAAAGTGTTTTTATTTAAAAATTTTATAATGGTGGTGTCCGGACTAGCTTGTGGCACCTCAAATATTTCACCAAATATCTGCTAGATCTCACCAGCGACCCAAGCCCATGGGACGTATTGTCCACTTTAGGCCTAGGCCCGCACAGATTTATACTTTTTGGGTTACGCCATCTCGAGCCCCAAAAGCGCGCGTACTATGTGAACTTTTGCCATGCCTTATAAAACTCTTCACTTTCCTCTCCAATTTCGCTGTGGGATTCGCTTAAGGTGACATGTGCACCCTTTCTTCAGAAGCTTGCCAACCTAGAAGCGAGGTACTAGGTAACTCTGATACTAAGACTTAGGCAGATGGGAGAAATTATGTGTCGTTTTTTTGTCTCTGTTATGAACCTTGGTCTCCCATAGTTTTCGCAATTTTATTGACCGTTAGGCCAAACCCTTGGATGCCGTAAGATCACGAAATATGTACTTTTGTCAATGAAAATTAACCATTTTTCTTGTTTATTCTGTATTATGCAGTTACTAAGAATGACATTGAAGGAACAAAGACAGCTTTTTTGGCATCAGCAAGTGCATTTGAGAAATGGACAACATTAACAGGATTGGTTGAAGAGCTAAAAGGGCTTTGAAGCAAAAGGAATTAGCATTTCCCTCTTTTATCTGATACCTATTAATATGAGAATTGAGAAAATTTGGTCCATGCCAACATGTTTTTACCTTTGACATTACTTTTACTGTTTATGTATCTACAAAGTTATACAGTAATCATTTTCAGTGTTTTTTTCCTCTGTCAAATGAAAAATATACAATGTATTTGAGTTTGTTTCAGTTGAAGCTAAATGTGTGAGAAAAAAGACTAGACTATTGTTATCAGCTTTTCTTTTTTCTTTTGCTTCTGCCAGTTCACTTCAAACAATTACCGGTGCACAATTCGAAGGGGAGCTAGTAAAGTTGCTGCCATGTGACCAGGAGATCATGGGTTCGAGCCGTGGAAACAGCCTCTTGTAAAAATGTAGGATAAAGCTGTGTACAATAGTCCCTGGTGGTCCGGCCCTTCCCCGAATCCCGCACCCAGCGGGAGCTTAGTGCACCGGGCTGCCCTAATCTGGATATTTTATTGCTTTTGAAAAGGGAACAAGCTATTGAAATTTCAGCATTGCTGCATAATAAACTTTTCAATTAGCATCAAGCCAAGAACTGGATTAATCCTCAGATTGAGCTAAGAAAATTATACAACCTTGGACAACGACCACCTGAGCAATCATCAAACTAGTTTTGGATTAAGGTAGTTGATTGATAGATGTATTACTGAAAGGTAAGAACACAATCACTCCACAACAAACTGCAGTAACTCGTATTAGCCAATTCCCTTGTTAGTCAAGATAACACAAAGGCTTTATATAAGCTTACATCACTGAGTTTCATACAACGAGCTATGGCGATCTTGACAACTACAAATTACCTCAGCGCAATTAGTGTTTCTGCTGAAGGTCTAATCTATGACATAGATTAGTAGTGGTGCAAATATCTTTGCAGGCGATAAGTCCTACCAGAGCAATATTTAGGTCCTAAATCTAAGATTTTGCATACAGACGTCTCGTGAACAATTAGAGTATCTATAATTTAACGACAATACAGTCATCGAAAAGAAGCAAGTAGGAGTAAAAGGTTAGACAGAGAGAGAGCAGAGAAGTGGCACGAAGCTACTCAAACTGCAGCTCAAGGCTTGGCCTCATTAGTGTTGCTGCCATTCTCAGTTACTTCACCATCCACCTTACTTTTTTCACTGTTCATCAAATTATGTTGATCTTCAGTGCTCGTTGTTGCAGCACTAGTTTTCTGCTCATCGTTCTGTTCTCCTTCCGCTTGATGCTTCTTTTCCTCAGCAGCGATAGAATCTGATGTCACTGTTTCAGTAGGCATGTTTTCTACTTTTTCTTGAACCTGTACATCCTTTTCCTCCTCAATCATTTTAGCAGCTTCAGGACCATCAGCTACTTTATCACCAGCAGCCTCTTCAACATCTTTGGGATGTCCAACGTTATCAGCCATCTGGACATCTTTCTCAACCTGAGCTTCTTCAGAAGGAGCATCTTCTACTTTGCCATAGGCATTTTGGCTTTCGTCTTTCTTTCCATCATTCTCAGAAGATTCAATTTCATCTTTCTTTGATACATCCTTCTCAGTAGCTTCAGCTTCCTCTTTCGTCTCTATTTCGCTCTCTCCATCTTGAGTTTCATCTTGGTTCTCGTCTTGTTTCTGTTCAACATCCTTATCAGCTTCCACTGCTGCAGTATCCTTCTCATGTTCTTCAGCTTCTTCCATGTCATCGTCCTTTGCTGCTTCTGTTTCTTCAGGGACTTCATTGGAATCCTTCTTTGAAGCTGAAGACTTTCTGCCTCGTTTCTTAGCAGGCTCACTTTCTGCCGGAGATGGAGCTGCCTTTGCCTTTTCACTAATCCTTGGGGATCTTCTTGGAGTATCACCAGTTCCCCAATCAAACTCTGCTACTGGTGGACCACCGGGATGCGACTTCAGGTACTGTTCCAACTGTTTTCTTGTGGTGATCTCCTCCCCTGTTGGTGCAGTAAATACGATTTCATTCTTCTTTGGAGTACCTCCTGTTTTAGGCAGAAACTGCTAAAGGAACAGAAAGAGTCAATTTTAAAAAGAAATATGTTCTCCATTTTTCTCTTTTAAGTTCTTTATAATGTTCTTGGAGCGGGTTTGGGTGGGTGCTAAAAAGGAGTATTGGACAAGCTGTGGCAGTTCCAAAGATAGGAAGCTACTTTTAATTTTGATAACTGAAAAATCTTCAGGGTCAGTGGTGCACAGTACAAACTCATTGGATAATGGACCTATCCCTCCCTCCTTCTCCACTTAATTGCTAGGCTTTTGTTTTGCAATAGATGTTCGAATCCGTGACATGCGCGGCGTAACCCACAGATCATGCACTACGCTCTTACCACTAGACCAAAGCCCTGAGGGCAACGAAAGATAAAAAACTACTCGAGAGATGGAAAAGGAGATAAAAGAGTGCTTAAAGGAGTTGTAAGTAATTTAGGAGTCTTTCTGAAACAAAAAACCAATGCAACAAAATACACGAATCTGCTGCTTAACTAGTATGCATGAAGATATAAGTTAGCACACAGTTTGTAGGCTGCACAGCCACATCCAACGGCAATTTCAGTAGAAAATCAAAATCAGAGCTAAAGGGCTTCCTATGATGTTTCTCCTCTTAATCAAATGAGATTCTGTAGAGTTTCAACTTGTATAAATTTATCTTTTTCCCTGAAATTGAATCCTATGGATTCTCCCTCACAGTGAAGATATGACAGGTTCTGCATTTAAATTGGGACATCAAACAAGTCGTCTTTAGCACACAGCTGAAAGACATGATCGCCTGTTTTAAATTTTTATTTTGTAGTATAGATGAATTTACCAGAAAGGAAACAAACTCACCCTAGGATTACATAAAGGATTGTTCATGTTAGAATCTCGTCGATATTCTAGAATATTCTAGGATCTTGTAAATAGAGTATAGCTTGAGTGTATTTTGATCGTGATTGATTTTCTTTCCTTTCTTATCAAAGAGTAACATATGCCATCATTATGAATTAACACGGCGATCATGAAAAAACAAAATAGAATTAACCTAAATAGCCGCCAACCCAACCACTTAAACTAAAAATAGCTGGACGCTGTAAAATATATGTAATAATCCATGTAAAATATGTGTATAAATCTATGTATACCGGCTAGGGAAAATAAATAGTGAATCCGGCAAGCTATTTTTGTAAAGATCTCAAAAACAAAGAAGTTTTTGCATACCTGAATCACAGTTTTCTAGCTCCAATAAAAAGGTTTTCTATTTTACATAACATACTTTTCCTCTCAACAGAAAATTGTCAACCAAGCCAAAAGAATCACAGAATGGCAGCAAGACAACATCTAAAAAGCCAGTTGAGCAAGAGAGTCTTTAGATACTTGAATCATTATAACCTACTAAGGCACCAACAGTAACTATCCGTCTGATTGAGAAAAAAATATTTTCGATCAAGGTCTTGTTAACATGTCTCAGATCTAAAGGAACCAAGTCCAGGCACCTATAAGCTCTATAATTACATGAGGATGAAAAGCACTTTTCAGCATCATCATCTCTTATTTTTGCACCAATCGAAAATTTTGAAATGTTTTTCAGGTTTTTGCTGCATAATATCTTATTCTAGCAACATAGTGGTTCAAAATCAGTACCTCCATGATGGATAAGGCTTATAATTGAAACTTAGTCTAAATTCCCATTTTTGTATTGCCGATCCTATGCCCGGTTTCCTCTCATCTTTCCTCCTCCCTTCTAAGGTTTCTCAAAAAAATGGGCAAAAACTCACCCAAGCCAATCTTACTTAACCGTAAACCTGCAGTTTTCAACTTTTTATCCTTGTTTTAGAGCTTAAAATATTTCCAAGCTAATTAACATTGGTTTAAGGCAGTTTAAGAGAAACAAAAAGCATGTCCTGCAATAAATGGGAAAAACCATAGGGATGCAAGAAAGATTACCATGAGTAGGAAAAGATGAAACAATATTTTCCGAAGTTTTAAAGTCGTCTAATACGCGACAAAAAAAACTCAAGTGCATTTAATTTCGCTGTTACTGCACAACCAGTTCATCCCGATAAGAAAAACTGCTGTTCTGGATCCATTGGACATAATTGCAGTACTGCAATAAATGGGATTACCTGGTTCTCTCCTCTATAGCACGAACGCATGAAGCTTTACTTATAAAACAACAACAACTAAGCCACAGCCCCAAACAAGTTGGGCTCGACTATATGAAGCTTTACTTATGATAAAACAAACCAAAACGCAGAACCGAGTACTTCTGCGCACTACAAAAGAATATGAAGTTAAGAACAAGAAGAAATGCCTCAAACTTATAGAAGCAGGAAAACCCCAATATCAAAGAACACCGAGATTCATATTAACACCGATTGACATTTCTTGCAGAAAATCTACAAAAACAAGACTAAACATCCTCCTAAACCCTCGGAAACACTATCTCCTAAACTACTCTAACTCTTCAAAACCAAAAATTCAACCCCAGAACTAGAAAATTACAATAATTGCAAATACGAGAGCTAAAGAAACGAACTTTACATGAAATCACTAAAATGGGGAATTTCTCAAGCAAACATAGATGTACTAATGTGAAGCCTGGGGAAAGCCATATCTTTTAAACTACCCTTACTCTTCTAAAACAAGAATTCAACATCTGAATCTCATAACATAACTACATAAAATTAAACAATACCCACAAAACCCATTTTAAAAGAAATTCCAAATACCATACTAAAGAGTCGAACTTTACATGAAATCAATAAAAATTGGAACTTTTTTCAAGAAAACAGAGGCTGAACATGAGCTAATCGAATATAAAGCCTGAGCAAAACCCTATCTCCTAAATGACTCTTACTCATCAAAACAAAAAAATTAACCTGAAAGGCACAAATATAAGCAAAATTAAACAATACCCACAAAACCCAGTGTAGCAAATTTGCACATACCAAAGCTAAAGAATCAAACTTTACATGAATTCAATAAAAATCAGAACTTTTTCAAGAAACTAGAGGCTGGACATAAGCTAACATAAAGCCTGAACAAAACCCTATCTCCTAAATAACTCCTACTCATTAAAACCAAAATTTCAATCTCAGAAACACAAAAATAAGCAAAATTAAACAACACCCACAAAACACATTGTAGCAAATTTGCACATACCAAAGCTAAAGAAACTAACTTTACATAAAATCCAAAAAAACAATTTTAAAAAAAATTAACTTTTCAAAAAACTTTAAGAACTGAACAAAAGAGAGAACTACCTTCTTCTTCCAACCAGGAGGAGCTGGAAGTTCAATGGAAACAACTTCATTTTTCTCCACAGAGCTTGCCATTTTCCACCTACCCAATTTTCCAAAAATAAATAAATGAAGCAAACCAACTAACTGTAAAATGGGTACACAATTTCTCCAATATAATTGAAACTAAAAACTGCAAAAGTTTCTGGGATTGTTTAATTTATATTGTTATCGTAGTTTATTACTAGTAATGTCTTATTTTAGTTTTCTTCTTATAGATTACAGGGTTGAGATCAGTTGACTTCGCATCGGATGGTGACAGATGGCCACTATTTTGATTCCTTTTTTCCTTTTCTTTTTGCATTACTTGTTGGATTATGTTTGGTATTTTTAGATCTATTTATAGTGATTCGAATTTGACAGAGAAAAAAAATAAAACAAAAATTTCTAGTATGTTTTTAATTCTTGAAATATATAGACATTTGTCTCTAATGGATGTTGAAGAAAAATAAATCAGAATCTAAAATCAGTGAGTTCGAAATGTGTGTATATATGTATAGACAATATAGATAAAGACTCGGATATGGGATATCACGAAAATGAAGATGATGACTCTGGAATGAGCTTTGATTCAGTGGCTCTGCATAATTTGAATACATGAAAAAAAGAGTAAGGGACATAAAGTTGAAGAATCGTAGAAGCAAAAAGACATAAATGTGGATAATAGTAGCAACTAGAAGACATTAAGGTGTAGATTTAAAAAAGGATTAGATGAAGAGATAAGTGTATCAAAAAGGTCAGATCTATAATTCAAGAAAGCGACAAATAAAGAAAAAACCCTTATTGAGGCCATGTGAATGATGAGGCCCGGTGAAGCAGCCTGCAAAACTATATATATATATACCAGATGAGAAAGGCTTGTATACGCCCAACATTGCAATCTTAAAATTGTTATTTGTAGGTGTTCAATTAATTTTTTGATAAATAAATTAATCATCGTTATATTCATTTAATCAAGGATAGAAAATGATATTTGGGATCACAATTTACAAATAATTTCTTTTAATAACTTATATAAAATTAAATAATAATTTATACTTGTTTAAACTACGTGCTATAATACTCATTTTAACATCCACTCAATGTCAAACATAGATATCAAAATTGGAAAATTGGTTTCAATGATATTATTTCCACATTATATTTGAGTATCATAAGAGAATATATTAAAGCTGCATGTGTCATCTATAGTAGTGTATTTTCTAAAATAAAAAGCATACCAATCTATCTGTAAACTAATCTTGAATACATCCAAAATAGTCTTCCAAGTATTTCAACAGTGGAAATAATCAACTATTTGATGAAATTTTAAAGGTAAAATACATAAATACCCCATTAAACTTGTCCAAAATCAGGTTTGAACACTTTAACTAAACGGGTGTTCTTTTACCCCCCCCCCCTAAACACATTGTAAGTGAATTTTGTTCCACCCTCCATGACCCCCACACCAGTTAAAGACTAACGAGTGTGAGCCACGCTCTTTCTAGTGATGTCACGTCATAAATGAACTCAACCTTTTTAATGATCCAGTCCATTACTTAAAAATCCACCCGATTAAAATACCTGACTCGTTATTTTTTATTTTTTTACCCTAGGCTGAATTACCCAACCTCATTTCTCTCTAAAAAAAACAAGAAAAGGGCTGATGAAGTCAAAACCTAGTATCGATTTTCCCTCAAATCTCGTCGATTAGAGTGTAGATACTGAAGATCGTTGGCTTCTCTTGTAGATTCTTCAATCTCTTGTCGATTTTGAAGTGTAAAAAAAATATTTACGGATATTTTTCTTGTTTACTGATTTCAGTTCGAAGAAATGGCTTTTGAGCTCGTTACAGTGAGGATGTTCCATAGAGGTCAGTTACAACAGTATCCTATCAACTACGAAGGAGGTATTATGATAGAGTACTTTGATATTGATGTTGACAGATTTTCGTATTTTGAGTTTGTAGACTATGTGAAAGAAAATGGGTATAATTGTTAAACATGTGATATTTATGTGAGACCACATAATTCTAACACTTTGGTAAAAATTTTAACTCATAGGGATATTATGGGTATTGTGCCTCTATTAAAAAATGGGGATATATTTGAAGTGTATGTGTCCCACTCTGTTGATGAAGCATTAGTGGTCCCTCTAACTATTGAATATGCAAGCCATGTGTGTGGGAAATCTAGTGTGTCTTTTGATAAATGGATAAATCAAAGTGTTGGGGGCAGTGAAGGTGTAGGGTTTGAAGAACCACAAAATAGTGTCCTTGCTGTTGATAATGTGTTTGGTGGGGATGAGGGTGGTCCTTCTAATCTTGACGATACTCCATTAGTTGAAACTGATATAGAAAGTAGTGACCATAGTAGAGATTCAGAAATTGAAGAGTTGTTTGAGAAAGGGGAAGAAGAATATGGTAGTGATGTTGATGAGGAGTATAGGAATTTAAGAGAAGAGAGGAAAAAAGTGCATAGGATGAAGAAAAAAGAGAAAGAGGTTCAAACTAGACATGCCAAGTTAGGTAAAAGGGGTCCAGATGTAGGATATGATGAGTATGCAACTAGGAAGAAGACATCTTTAGAAGGTAAGATTATTGGAGATGAGCCATATTATCCCTCATATGAAGCTGCTAGTTTTGAAACAGATCCTTATGAAATTGCTTATGATGAAGCTGAAGATGAAGTCCAACAGCCAGTAAGAGCAAGAAGAAAGCAGCAAAATAGGGTTATCTTTGATCCTAGTTGTAAGTTAATTGTTTGGAAAACTGGAATTTCTTTTGAAAGTGTTAGACAGTTTAGAGAAACACTTACTAAGTATGCAGTTGATGAACATGTAGAGTTAGATAAGTATGTTAATGAACCAACAAGGGTGAGGGTAAAGTGTTGTGTTGGATGTCCATGGCTCTTGTTTGCTAGTTATGATTCTAGGACAAAAGATTTTGTGGTGAAGAACTATAATCTACTTCACAAGTGCAATGGTACTACCAAGAACAAACTGAGTAACTCAAAGTACTTAGCAGAAAGATACAAGGACAGAATAATTTCTTAATCAAATATTAGAATCTTTAAGTTTTATGAGTTAGTTCAAAAGGAGTTAAAAGTGTATATTGGAAGGACTGTTGCAAGGAAAATCAAGAATATTGTGTTAACACAGATTATGGGAGACCATGTTAAGAAGTTTGGCAGAATTCTGGACTATAGAGATGAGTTGCTAAGGACTAATCTAGGCAGCACATGTGTTATGAGACTTAGTGAAGAAACACATGAAGATGGAAGGAAAATATTTGTAGCATTTAATATCTGCTTTGATGCATTGAAGAAGACCTTCCTTGATGGTTGTAGGAGGTGTATTGGGTTTGATGGTTGGTTTTGAAAGGTGTATGTAAAGGGCAATTACTTGTGGCTGTTTGTAAGGATGGGAATAATCAGATGTTGCCATTGGCTTGGGCAGTAGTTGAAGTTGAAAACACATTTAATTGGATATGGTTTATGAATCTTTTAAAGAATAATCTTGAGCTTGGATATGGGACAAAGTTGACTATTATTACAGACATGCAGAAGGTAACCTATATTCTATTAAATGTGTTATTCAAATCTGTTAATTCTATTTATTCTTTTAACTGTTTATATTTTAACTATTTATCTTTTATATATTGTAGGGACTTGACAAAGCAATCAGTGAGATCCTCCCACAGGCAGAACATAGGATGTGTGTCAGGCACATCCTAGCAAACTGGTCAAAAATATGGAGAGGCATTGAGAGAAGAAACTATTTTTGGAGATGTGCTAGGTCAACTTATGAATAAAAGTTAAGGAAAAATCTTGATCACATGGAGAAACTAGGAGATAAAATAGTTGAGGACCTGCTATACTATAACAAAGAGAGGTGGTGCAAGGTGTATTTGAAGTATTTCAACAATTGTGACAGTGTTGACAACAATATGGCTGAAACTTTCAATTCTTGGATATTGGGGCCAAGGCACAAGACAATCATCACAATTCTTGAATAGATTAGGGTGAAGATGATGATAAGAATATCACAAAAAGGGATTTCTGTGATACTTGGATCAATAAAATTTCTCCAATGGCACTGAAGGTATTGCAGGAGAACACAGCAAAATTAATAAAATGTGTGGTACACTGGAATGCTCAATATGGTTATGAAGTGAAGGAAGGACACACCAGTAAGCATATAGTGAATCTAAACATGCTAACCTGCACTTGTAGAGCTTGGATGTTGAAGGGTATACCATGTGCTCATGCTGTAGCTGCTATCCATTTCAATAAATTGGAGCCAGTTAACTACATTGTACATTGGTACCGTAGGGAGACTTATATGAAAACCTGCAGTCACTTCCTTCAGCCTGTACAAAATATGGAGATTTGTCCACAATCACAAAACCATTCGGTTATACCACCAGAAGTAAGAGTAATGACTGGTAGGCCCAAGAAAGTGAGAAGGAAAGAACCAATTGAAAATAAAATAGGAAAGCTTTCCAAAAGAGGTACCCAGATGACCTACAACAACCGTCATGCTAAAGGCCATAACAAGAAAGGTTGTCACAAGGCTACACAAGATACTGCAAGATCAAATGGTGGTGCAAAGTCATTAAGTGTTGGTTCTTCATCAACACATTCAGTTTCAAAGTGTACCAAAAATAGGAACAGGAAGAGAAAGACCATGAGGTTCAACAAAACAGGTAATTATTCTGAAGTTACTTCTATAGACTGCATATTTGTAGGTCTGTTTTATGTTTAACCTCTTAATAATTTGCACTTTTTTATAGGATATTGCTACCGGTATAGAAAGGTGGACACCCTATAAGAGGCCAAGAATGGTTGGTATGGGAATTCTACAAAGAGAAAGTGGAGCTTCCATCTATAATGTAAGTATATAATGTCAACTGTGACTATGAAATCATTTTGATCAAACTTAGATGTAAACTAACTAAGTTTATTTATATGAATATAGCCTGGAATGTCAGCTGTGCCTATGAACTCTGCAGTAGTGACTGGAGATTTTGGACACAAACCAAGAACATGGGTGAAATGGAAAGGTAAAAAAGCTATCACCTCAAGGACTCTTCAACATATTCAAGCTAAGAAAAGAATGGAGACAAGGTCAAAGGCATCTGAAAGAGTTCGTTTGAGCCAAACAAGTTCATCAGTACCACAATCAACTGCCCAGTAGATATTAGAACTTTAGTGTTTTTGTTTGCCTTTCGTCAGTTGGTATATGTAAAGACAATATGAAATTCTATTTTGGTATGTAACTATATTCAACAATGACTAAAAGTTTTTAAGTCTATGGTATTATGTGCAGCAATGACTGTTGATTTGTAGGTCTATTACTGGAAATGATATGCAACAATGACTGCAATTTTGTTAAGTCAGTTTCTGTGTTCTTCTGTTTAAGTCTGTTTTTCTGCAATATGCAGCAATTACTGCAGATTTGTAGGTATGTTTACTGGAAATGATATGCAGTAATGACTACAATTTTGTTAAGTCAGTTTTTCAGTTTTTTTCTGTTTAAGTCTGCTGCAAAGTGGTTAATCTATTTTCTGCATAAATATACTGCTAATATACAACAGTGACTGCAAAGTTGTTGATATATTTTTCTGCATAATTATGCTGCTAATATGCAGCAGTGACTGCAGATTTCTAAGTCAATATAAAGCATGCATTTATA